CTGGGACCCGGAGGAGGGTTTGCTGAGCCTGATTAGAAGACCCTTGTCCTGCTCACTGTTATGATTCATTGTGGACTAAAGGTATTTTCTAGTCAAGCTGTAGAGTAAGAAAAAGGCACATCAAAATCAATTGATGCAAACAAATCCTCTTTCCTGAGTGGCAAAATTATCAGAGGCCATTTCAGATCTGAGTCTGTCAATAAAACCATTCCTTGGCTACGTCTGTGCAAGTGAAATAAGCAGGGCAAGGATACCAGCTCTATTGTTTGATCATCCATGCTGTTTAATTGCTAACATTCTCCCTGGCATAGTTTTGAGCTCGGTCCCAGACAATGCCTGGGCACAGCTGGGGGACAGCACAGGCCAGGGACTGTTCTCAGGAGGCAGTGAGTGTTCTTTGTTTTGGGGAGTGAAGACAGTTTAATCATATAAGCATAAACAGTGCTGGACCACTTGCCCATAGGAACAGAGAAGGGGCATGGATGTAGCTTGTAAGTTCAAATGAGGTCCACAGCTCTGGGTTTTCTTTGACAACAGGAAATAGTGGCTATGAATTCTTTACCCCATGAGAATCTCCTGCTAGAGCTGATTAAGTGTCTATTTCCCACCAGACCAAGCTCTCACAAAGTGTCCCTAAAAAGAAAGGGGGTAGGTGGTCTTGCAGAGAACAGAGAACATATTTAATCATGGGAGGCAGTGTCTGCTGTCTAATAGTCTAATGTTATTTTCTCATGGGCAGTGTACACATGAGAAAATTCAGTGCCACAAGAAGGGAAGAAGAACAATGGGATGGTCAGATGAAGTCTTGAAATCCCCCAAAGCCAAGAAACTGGGAGCACTCCAAAGTAAGCATACGAATTTATGAGGAACTTAGTGTAGTAGACGTTGGTCTATCTGACCAGCAATTTTTTAGATTGCTGATGAGAAGAAAGAGGAGCCAAGCTCTAATCCTTAACTGTGCTCCTGAGGATGTGCTCAGCACTACAAAAGTCTCTAAATACTTCAGCACTACAAAAGTCTCTAAATACTTCAGAAGACCAGGAGTCCTTGAGGCATTTTGAGCAATGCAAAATGAGATGACTTCCAGATATTATAAGGGAGTCACAACCCAAGAGCACCTTTTCCTTTCCACTCTGAGGCAGAAGAACAGGGAAGAGGAGACTGAAAATGAGGGACTTGTGGTTCAAGCCAAAACAAAGAGATGCACCAAGAACTTATCTTTTGAGCTCTTTATGAGCTCTATGCATAACACCTTTACAGGTTGAATATTTTCTGGGTATATGGTTTACTGGTTGACAAACACACACAGGAATGCTAACTCACAGCAGGATATGTACCTTGGACAATGTCAAGCTGGTGTGTGTGTGTAGCACCTAAATCCATAAAGGTGGAACAAACATTCAACAAAATATGAATAAAAAAAAAAAAGCTGCAGAAGATGTATTATCTTGCTCCTATAAGGCCAGAAAAAAAGGGAAAATAAATGTAAGTGAAGAAAAACCACACCCCAAATTTGAAAGGGTAACCCACAATGCAAGTGAGAAAATAATCCTGAGGAGCACGTTCTGATTTAGCCATAAGGAAAACTGGGAAGCTGGGTATGCTCTGCTCTTTTTTATACCACACATGCAGTATTTTGAGGAGGGTGTGGGACTGTGCCCTCGGGCACCCACAGCATGTCTGTGCTTATCACTTCAAGGACAACAGACTTTGTTCCTAAATGCGGTTATTGGGAATTCTGTCATTCAGTGAAATTACAGCAGGACTGAATTTGGCTTGAAGCATTATTATGTAGCCTTGAAAATGTTCTCTTCATAGAGTCAGAAATGGCCAAAAATCCAGGAAATCTTGTTAAGAATTAATACTGGAAACAGCATTGATGTCACTTATACACGTGGCATGCTGGGTACCTCGAAGCATATTTAGAGCAGGCAGTAAACAATGGCAAAACAGGGGAAGTAGGATTTTGCCTGCCTTTTGAAGACTGTTAGCTGTATTTACTTTTATATTGCGATGTATGTGTATACAGCACTCTGCCAAGCAAGATACACTTTTTATTGACCTACTTGTGTTCCAATTTATTGCTAGTGACAGCTGTTGTCAATGATTTGGAGAAAATAAATTGAGAATAAAGCAAAGAGACATGACACTGATTGGTCAAAAAAATTAGTTGTTGTTTTAAATCAAATATAAGGGATTTAGTCTCTTAAAAACTATAGATTCTGATTAAAATGAAGACTTTAAAGCCATGGCTGGATTATAGTAATTCAGAACTTCATGGATTATGAGAGAAATACTTCATAGGCATCATTTTGGACAAATGCTGCCATTAGGATTACTACATAATTTTAGACCTACTGTATTGCATTTCTTCAAATCCTCTGCTGTGGTACTATACGAATTTGAAAGACACTGGCTGCCATGTTTAATTTGATCCTTCTAACATGTGAGTCAAATTTGTTGACATTTAACATTTGCAGCCAGTCTCATCTGCTACATTTCAGTGACTTCTCTGCACAGTAATTTCAGAATCAATGTCTAGTGTAGCTGGTATTCTGGTGGTGTTTCCTAGATACAGGTTGTGGATGACAGTTGTAGTACACGAAAATCTCCCTCCTCTAGTTAGCACAACAGGTATTTAACTGTTTCTGGTTTTTAAGGGCAAATTAACACATATTTGATTCTGTGTTTTATCTTACTTGGCTTTTTAGATTGCTTTTTTTAATAGGCCACAAGTTGCTTGGGGACATTCTACATGGAAGGCACTATACATGAACAGTTTTATTGTATCTGTATCTGAAAAGGTGAAACAGTTTTACTGAAGATGCCTGCCAGAGAAATCACATGTATCACTAATGGAGAAAGCAAGTGATAAAAGCCTCTTAGATGATAGAGATGGTGAAAAAAACAGTTTTCCTATGACAGTATTCTAGGGGAAAAACAAAACAAACCAGTCCCCCTGTTTTTTGTCAGCATCTTGAGGGAAAATCTGATGAAGATACAATAGTTCTGTTGTAGCTGTTTCTGACTGTGTTTTTTTCTAATCCAAACAGATGAGCACATCCTACTATTTTGACTTTTATCAGGCACACTAATACCTTTCTGCCTTATATGTACATGTATAAACTGCAGAAAAATTGAACAGTTGCAAGTAAATTATAGATTATAAAGTATTCTAAGAGATATGAAGAGTTAGGTAGTACTTCCAAACAGTTTCAAATTTCCTCAGTGGAGATTGTTGAATAAATACACTGGAAGAGTTAAAAAATAACATGGAGGGAAGTGGAGAAGGAGGGAAAATAAGAATATATATACGTACAGGGAGGAGCTTTCTCCAAAAGGGACAGAAAAATTGATTACATTTATTCAACTTACATCTCCTTATGGCTGCCAGGAATACACACAGACATTAATCTCATCAGTCTTTTCTTGACAAACAAAACAGTTACGTCCTTTTGAAGTCTATGGGAATTATTTATGCCTTATAGTAGGAAACCTGGATTCTCTATATGAGAGGCTGCTGTCCCTCTAGTTGTCCCTGAGAGCAGGTGGTGTGAATAAACATTATAATTATTACAATTATTATTATTAAATTCCAGTTCTGGTAAGAAGCAGCTCCTGAGGAAACAGGGCTGTTTTCCCAGGGTTTCCCTTGGTATAAAAGAGTTAGCGATGTTGTAGGTGAAAGTCTGGGAGTACGAAAGGCGTGTCAAGGTCACACAGCTTACAGAGCTGTATTTGCTCCAGGCAGTCTGAGGCATAGCTTCAAGAGAACCTCTTCTACACTAGAAAAATCAGTATTTTCAGGCCAGAAAATTGCAAGTCAAAAAGAATCTGGATTTTCTAGATGCTAGGATTTCAACCTTCAGTTTCATCTTTATACCTCATCTAAATAATACCACATCCTAAATGACCCTGGGAAATGAACCAGCAATTTTAATTTACCAAAAAGAAAAGAAAGACAATTACAGGCTGAAATTCTTTTCAGAGGAGGAGAGCAGGGGATGTTTGAAGGATGTAGTGGAGGAGGGGAGGGCCAGGTATCCCTCCAGGTACTCATGCCACCCACTGTTGATTCCTGCTCACCCTGCCTTTGTGATACTTTTTTCTGAGCAGCACTAGCAATGACAGCAGCAGCTGTCAAGGCTCAGGGATGCAAGGCTCCTATGTGTCCTCTCCCCTTGCTCCAAAGGGTGCACAAGAAGGGTGCCCCTGTCACCCTGCCTTGCTATGGTTCTGTATATATTAAGTCTGATGTGTGCATAATTAAAGCCAGAGCCTCAAGGGTACTAATAAAGCCTTAATGGCCCTGTCCTGCTTCATGTGGGGCCTCCCCTCTCTGCCCATGGGCTGAAGAAATCCATTTAAGCTCAGGTCTGGGCCTTCACTCCCTGTCCAACTCATTGTAAGTGTGCCTGTCTTCAGCCCTTTCACAGCCATGCTTGTGCCTGGCCATGGCCCTCGTTGATCTGGACCCTGACCTGGAGACCGTCTTCCTGGCTGGACTTCAGACCTGCCTCACCACTACGCACACCTGGCAGTCACTGGGCTGTGTCTGGCCCTCACCGGACCTGATCCTGACCTGACTTCCTGGCCTGACCTTGGGCCTGCCTCATCACCATGGTCTTGCCTGAGGATCTAGGCTCTTGGTTGAACCTGACTCCACCTTTGGGCCTGCCCTGCTCACCTTGCTTGGGTGTTGTGGGACTGGACCCCTGGCTAGCACGGCCCCTACCCTGCCAGCCGTGTTCTGCCCCTTGGCTCCTGGCTCCCCGTCCTTTAGGGAACAGCTAGTCCTTACTGCTCCCTGATGATTAGAGGCTTAATTTATTATGAAAAATTAAAGAGTTTATATAGTAAGTCTCATTCATTTCTCGATGTACAGTATTACTATAATACTTCTGACCATGTCTCAGTTCCTGTTGGACAAATTGCATTTTTCTCTCTTTAAATGGAGAAAATGACATTGTTTTCTTTATTTTAAAGTCATCTGTACTTACATATCATCGAAGATAAGCTTTGTCCTTCTGCAGTCCCTGGGTGTGCTGGACAGAGGTGACCAAGGCTCTGTTTGGGACTGGGGCTTATTGCAGAGAAGAACATTTTCTGAATTCATGTGAATTGCTTTCTAGACAACAAACAGCAGAGAAGACATTGAGGAATTGGCTACTAACTTCAAAAAAGCAACTAATAAACAACAGAGCGTCTTTGCATTGTGTTGTAAATTGGCAGTTAGTTTTCCTACTATTTCAGTAGGGAGTATGTGTAACTGTCCTGTCACTGATAGCCACAAATTCACAGATATTGCTCAGAGCACTTTCTAAAGGGCTCGAGTTTCAATGTGATATACGGAAGAAATGGAGCTGAACTATTAGTAACTATCAAAACATGCTGAAACACAGTAAGTGAAATTTTTAAAAAATAGATCTGTTGTGGTCATTTAGAAGATCAAGTTATATCTCTAGTCTTCAGCTGCCAAACTAGCATTGTACCTTGCCTCAGGAGAGCAAGGCTCACTTGTTTGTCTTGTTTCATGCTGCACTGCTGATGTGCCTATGCAGTATGAATTTGTAGCCCAAGGTCCAGGTTTCTTTCTGTTCTGGGCCCCTGATCAGCCTGAAAGATCACTGCTCTGTGCCACAGTGGAAGCTCATGTCTTTTGGCAGGGTCTCATGCGTTCCCTCAGCTGCAGCCCTCTTCATGTGGCCTCATGAGCCATTCGTCCCACTGAGTGACCTGCTGTGTAGGCTACCACGCACTGGTACAGTGCAAAGCAGAGGGCCCCAGGTTGTTTTTAGTTGATAACCACTGCTAGAAAACACTGTTCTTTCTCTGTTGGGTGACGGACAGAAACGCAATAGGGAAATGGACAAAAAGCTCAAATGGATAAAAGCCACTCCCTGGCTTGTGGTCTCTGACAGAATTTCAAAGGACCACTTGGGCATGCCAGTTAGATGCCAGATGGGAAGTTGGGCTAAAACAAAGCTAACTTTAACATTTATAGTTCATGAGCTCTCATCTTCAATATGGCACATCCAGATCAGTTCAGCAGGCTAAAGTTTTCAGATGAATAACCAGATACATAAGAATTTTATTGCAAAGGTTGTTAAAATGTTGACCAAATGGTGCATTGCTAGGCTATGCAGAAAATCTCAGTGAAATGCATTTGCTAAGGGTGTGGATCATAAAGCAATCACCTTTTACTTTTGATTTCCAGCACATTTGCCTGTGAAGGAATTTAAATTGTTTTCAAGATATCCAGTGAAGAATCATATCATTATAATTCTGAATGGGTTATAAACCTCTAAACTTATGTTTTAGAAGTTAAAATGTTTAAAAATTTACATTTAATCCATGAAAAAATAATGACTATGACATGTTAAAATCCCTTTTTATTGGAATATTTTTATGTAATTAATTTTATTTCAATTTACCAAAAGCATCTGCGAGATATTCTTGAAACACACAATTTATGACAACTTGGTTTTTAAAAAGTGTCCAAAATTAAGATTATAGTTACTACTTCCCCCTCCACTCTCAAAAAATAAATATCTTTAAGTATATACATGTATACTTAATATATACTGTGGGGCCAGTTATCCACACAACAAAAGTAGCTGGAAGAGACCACTGCTACAACTCAGGTGGTTTGTTTTCCTGAAAGTTGCTTAGGCACTAATACTTAGGCTTTTGAAGCCTCTTATGTATCAAATAACAAATACAACAAATAGATATAGGATAAAATACATAAATAGCTTTTGTAGCAAGGAGAGGAGCGTGGGCCTTTCTAGCAGCAGCAGAATGCCCTAACAGTTTGACTAGATGCTCCAGCAGTGGACATCAATATGATGGTACCCAAATTGCTTCTTCTAGGTATTTCACACAAAGCAGAACAGCTTCGAGGCGAGGATGTGACAATATTCTGCCCTTGATCTTCTACCGGCAGCGTCCTGCAGGCTGGAGGGTAGGGTATGATTTTGAGAGGTGAGAGAGAGAGAGATGTGAATTCCCTCAATCAGAAGAGCTAACAGGCTCTTTACTCCAGCATCCTAATTGCAGAACTCATGCATAAATGGGGGCAGCATCTGTTCCTGTCTCTCTGTGCTCTGAAGGCAGTAGCTACCACGCGGTGCAGTAATACGGCCTTATCTGGAAGGGGGCTCTGGACGCATTTAGTGTGACCACGACTCTCTCATAGGTATCTGAATACCTGGGCTCTGATGGAGCTGAGTTGCGAGGCTGGTGCTAAGCTGTTCATCGGTGTCAAGAGTAAGTAGAAACGTCTGAGAAAGTTGGTTGTAAGACATGTAGGAGAACTCGTCTGCAGGCACACTCATGGTTAGGCAGCAGCTGAGTAGAGGCCTTATACAGCAGCGGCCTTATGCACCATACTTTTGGATGTAGGGGGCTTGCATTGTGCCCAAACAATACTCTGGAGGCCTAAATCCATTTGTTTTGGGCCATTAGCTTTTACCTTTTGCTTATGTAGCCTTTGGTATCTGCCTACTTTACAGCCTGCCCTCTTTACTTTCTTCTGTGCCTTGATAAACTCCAAATCAGAAAAACTGAACTTACAATAAAACATTCATTATTACAATTTTTTTGCATAACATTCTGCAAAACTATCACAGACTGCAATACAAAGTGAAAAATATATAGCTAGGCTTTATATTGTGAACAAGAGCATAAACTTACATTGAAGTCTCCGGGATGTGGCTGTGACTGGATTTCACCCTTATGTTTTTTGCTGGAGGAGATGGAAGGTAATAGACTGCTGCCATTAGGTCTGCTGGAGGAAGTTAAATCATCGTTGGAGTATTTGTGTTTTGATGCATCAGAGAGGGGAGAGACGGGTGACCGAAGCATTTTCTCATTTTTATTTATTGGTATTGCCAAGCTGGAAATGGAAATTACAGTAATGGAGTGTCACAAAGCTGGCTTTGAGAAAGGTAAATGTTTTATATATTACCAAAACTTTGAATTTAAAACCTGCTGGCAGGATAAAGTCTATTGGTATCTGGAAACAAGCTTACAGTATTGGGACCAAGAGTTCATTTACAAATTTGTATCATGTTTCTTCTCTTTCCCTTCAAGGCAAATTGTAATTCTGGAGTTAATATAAAGTCTGTATCAAAATACTTGAAAAAAAATACAGAAATAAATGGCCACTTGATCACCATTTCTTAAGGGATAGCTGGAGACAAAGATTAGGCTCTGAAGTGTAAGTTCAGGTTATGGAGCCCTATTTCACCATTACAGGTGACAATTTATAAGCCATGGCAATAAAACCATATGTGAACTAAAACAGGAAATGTGTTTAAAGATGACTGGCTTGTCTTTGTGCTCAATGCCCAGCCTTTGGTAGCACTGTTTATACTAATCTAATACAGATTTTGAAGACAAAGAAAGATAGGCTGGTACCACAGACAAAAGGAAACATATGCAAACAGTAGACACACAGAAATGTGAGCTGCTCTGTCTTCTAAAGAAGAACGCTGTAACGCAGACAGTATTTTCCGCTTTCATTTATTTGGGAGAAGCTTTGGATGAGGAGAAGTCAGACAGACCGTAAAAATATGCCCAGAAATAAACTTCAGATGCACTAATTTGAAGAAAATATTTAGCTGAAAATCTTAAAGCAACACACACAAAATAAAAGTTTTTTTAAGGAGACAGTTTGCATTAAGGCTAAAACTGCGATTAAGGTCAGACAGACTATTTTAACACAATACCTTTCCCTGTCACATTCCTCTTTATTCAGCCTATTACTTTTTATGGACATTTCTCACTTCTTTATAGTCACTGTATCAGACAGTATACACTTAATGGAATCGCAAAAAAGAATATGGTACAAACTATACTTTATTTCTGCACATCATTTCAGAGAACAGAGCTAATTAAATGTGCTCTTATCATACATTTGTCCATTTATCTGGCAAGTCTTTAAAAACTAGCTGTGAAAGAAGCCATGAATCGTAATTCAGAACCTTTCCTGTTTCCCACAGTGTAGTACCTTTAAAACACAATGTGAACTCTTTTGCTTTAATGATCAATCCTGTTTATGAAAGCAAGAATCAGGGTGTGTAAGATGGACAACTGTGCCCTTCTTCTCCCCCTAAGAAAAATAAGATCTTTAGCACTATTTGGAATGTGCAGGCCGATGCTGTCATTTCTTTTCCTCTTTCAAACATAAACCCACGCCTTGACTAGCCATACATCACTGTCAAAGTGCAGGCCTAATGCATCCAAGAGAAACCATAGCTCTTTGGAAGCGTACCCAAGCCTCAAAAGCTTGGCCCAGAGCTTGTGAGGAGTAGCTGCAATTTGTAGTTATGCTGCAGACCTTCTACATGGCCTTTGGCACATTGTGTAGGGCCCACCTAAGTGTATTGTGAGCAGTCAAACTGCAGCAGCACAATCATCCTATACTGAGAAGCTGTGCGTAACAACCTGCAGCGAGCTCTGGTCTGCTGGGAGTGGGCAGATTGTGGCACCTGATGTAGATGCAAGGTATTTGGGGTTTTGACGTTTTTTGACGCTGCAGCCTTTCTTGTCAAAGAGGGCCTTGCTCAGTCTGCACCTCAGACTGTAATTCCACAGTAGAAAATGCTCATGTCTGAAGGTGGTTTTGCTCCTCTCTTTGCTACCAGCCCTCAGCTGTGCTGTCAAAACTGTCTGTGTGGCTCTGCTGGGAGCTGAATAATAATAACCTGGCCAAAAAAAAAAAAAAAAAAAGAAGAAAGAGTTCTGGTTTCAGACAAGTTTCTTGAGTGAATTTACAGGAGAGCCTCACAGACAGCTATGGTGGCATAACTGGAGGGGGGATGTGCCAGCATGAGCAGCCGATGGTTGCAAGAGGGACAGGAGGTCCTGATATCTGCACTGCTGGTTTAGCTACAGCCTCAGTAGCCCATCCTCAGCTGTGGGAATATTAGCATTTGATATCATGCCGTACAGTAGCATAAACCACAGAAACATCTTGAAAGCAGGGCAGACCAGGGAAGAATTAGGAGGCAAATATACGTTTAAGACCTTCTTCTTTGTTTCTTTAATGTACAGTTGCTACCAGGAGTATTGAATATAATGTCAAGCAAAGCACAAATTATTGTCCTGCTTCCAGGAAGCACAGAATTAACCCTGTGACATAGTAAGCTATGACAGCCATGCTATTCTCTGAAAATGAATGCGATGTAAAACATATGACACTGCGGTAACAGGAATGGCATGCCTGCATGCAATCACCTACAATAAAACAAACTGTTCTGTGTATTGTTTTCACTTTATGAAACATATGTGACATGTCAGGACAAAGAAATCGAATGCATATTTTTGAATAAGCACTATATATATTAGTTTTCTCCATGATTTTTTCCAGTATTGATGACAAGAATTGCTCAAACTCATCAGTGATGCGTACAACAGAAAAGCCTACTACAATAAATACAACTATTCTCTAATTTTAGCAGTTCCACCCCAAGAGATACCCTGGTACTACCAGAAAATGATTTTTTTTGAAATACTGATGACCAGCATGTACTAAGCAGCATGCAGCTGAACTCTGAAAAGATGCATGTCTAAGTTTGACTGCTGGAAGCCTCCAGAGAAACTCAGCATGATGAATCTGACATTGATAGGGGTCTGTGTGCATAAACCATGCCAGCAAATGCTAAATATTCATCATTTGTTTCATGCCCTGCATCCTTTGAAAATCTGATTGTTTTTAAAGTCTGAGTTCCTTGTCCTAAAATACCCACTAATTACACAGAATAGATTGCTTGTAATCTAAAAAACCCTGGATCTCAAATATATTCTGGAACTGAGTATTGCAGGCATTCTTATGAATATTCTTCTCAGTCTTTTCCACAGAGTTTATAGATAATTGTATTTAAAACCAGACATACAGCCAAACTTTAAGTTTGAAACTTGTAACACTGTAAGGAAAGAAAAGGTTGTAAGATGGTCACCTATGTGCATTGGTACCTACAACATGGTGTTTGGGAATATGTCTCCGACGATCACGCTGCTCTAGCTATAATTGCTCATTCCATGAGCCTCACATTTGAACTCACAACTTCTTTGTGCAATAGGACAAAAATGCAAGTATATAAATGTGTCAGGAGCTGCTAACATGTTCATTAAACCAGAAGAAAGGAGAATGCAGTGGGCAATTTTTCAACATAAAATGTGATAATTAAAAAATAAATCCTATTAAAGGAAAAAATAACACACGGCATTAAACTGCAACTAGTTGTATGACTCAGTGGTAAATAAGAAGGAAAATGCTTACCTATTTTCATTCATATTGCAGTGATTTGCTGTTGTGATGCTATGGGCAGAGGCAGTTAATCGTGAAGAACCCTCTCTCTCTAAATGAGTCTTCTTGATGTCTCTGCACTCTTCCTCATTCTCACACTGAATGAAGAGAAAAATAACAATCTTGTAGGTTTTGGATTTACTACAGATCCAAAAGTATTTCAACGAGTCAGGGGCTGGTATTTTCTGGCAATTTTGGTATTAATGATGACACTTTCTTTGAGCATATACCTAACGTGGATCAGAGATGATTCGTCCATGTCTTAAAAAACTAAAATCTAAAGAGGCAGTGTGTAAACAAAGGAGTAGAATATAAAACTTGACTTGTTTCAACCACTTCCCCACTTGCACCTCAGGATATTTTTTCTTTATACTGCCCTCTTTGCCCATCTCCTGTGTGCCTTTCTCTTGCCTAGTCCTCAACCTCATACCTCTTTTGTCTCTCCCTGTCTTTTCTTGGCAGCGGTGACTATGCCCATACTAGTAAATACAACAGATCAGCAACTGGCCCTGAGGCCAACCGGCATGGCACAGCTCGCACCCATGCACTCATCTCACTCCTTCAAACCAGGGCATGCCACATTTGGACCGCTTTTTGGGAAGGGACCTTAATCTGTGCAGTCCTGAGTGAGAGTCAGACAGTGTTTGGAAGAACAGAAGTTGGCCCAGGCTAAAACCACGTTAGCAAGCATGCTAACAATTAAACAAAGAGGATGGATGACTGTGTGCCACCGCTTGGGGCTGGACCCTGGCCCTATCTGACCTATTAATATGAACATAGCTAGTGTTGCTGCCACTATTTAATATCATCTTGTGATCCTTAGGTTCTATACCATTGTCTCCCAAAGGCTCTGCTTTCCCAACCTCCTAGTAAGTCTACATCCTTTTCCACTTCTAACACTTCTCTAGTTGCCAGTGCTGGCTGAGTTTTACTTGTGAACTGTTGATTCTGCTGTATTTATTGCCTTGCTGCATGGTAAGAACATTTTTTATGTTATCGACTGCCACTATAGCTGCTGTTATGGGGTTAACATTGTAGCTTATACTGCACAGGAGTGAAGCTGTTCTCACACCTCAGTGTGCTTAACCATCCTTCTCTGTCTTTACGTTGCCCATCTTGAGATCATGACAGAGGTGGAAGTAATAAGGACCTCTTTCTAATTTTGCAGTTACGCCTGATTGATAATCCATTCTTATTAGTCTTATTCTTAAAGTCTTTTGGGAAGGGGGATCACATATTGTGAGTTTGCATGGCAACTGTCCCATTGAGGGTCTTATTCCAGGCTGAGGGGCAATTTGGTACTCCAGGAATGCCTTGTATTTATTATATCACTAAAACCACCAACAACAGCAATGCTTTAAGATGGAAGAGTAAAAGATAATATGTGCCACAGAAAGTCGGATTAAGCATTTCTAGCGTGACTGCATTTATTTTGCTCTTCTATTGTGTCCTCCTGCTTCCTTCTGTGTGCACAGCCTGGCACTATCACACTGGCATCTCCTATGGCACAAAACATAAATCTTTTGCTTCTGCCACTCTTTCTTGGCCTGTTCCCCATAATTTTGTACTGTGCAATCAACTTCCATGCTACTTCCTAAAGAAAATGCAGACAAACGCATCAAACAGATACTGCCACCTTTCAGATACTAAAAAAAAGAACCCCAAAATGAAAAAAGATAAAAAAAGGAAAGACTGCTTTAGATAAATGGTCCCCAAAAATGTACAGATCAGTCTGCACATGTACAGTGTACAGTAGCTCAGAGGGCAACAGATGACTGCACAGTAAAACTGTCCAGAAATTGGGCAGATGGCGATTCCAGTTCAGAGTGACTTTTGCGGTCAGATCAGTACAAATGGACCAGAAAGCCGCCTCGGTGGACATCTGTGGCCATGGGGTGGAGGGGGCTTTCTCCCCGGCACCACCAGCGGCTCAGAAAGCGGGAGAAGCAGGGCAGAGGGGTGGATGTGACTGGAGGGCTGTGCCCACCCGGCTGCTGTGACGGTGCTGCTGGGGAGGGGGCAGCTAATGGACTACACCCCCACTTCTTACAGCTGTATGAGAGCCCTGAGGTAAAAGGGGGCCATGGGGGTGCGAGGGAGGCAGTTAGCAGAGCCAGGCAGGTCCCAGGTCTCTGCGAGTGCATACCCCACGAAGCCAGGGCTCCCTGCTGGGACTGAAGGACAATCTGAGGGGGAAAAAGACGTTGCCTCTCCTTTTTCGACACATGCAGTGATACCGTGAAGACTGTGACAAGTTAGCTGTTTATATTCCCTTTGCCGACCTAAGCATCACCTCCAAATGCTCAGGTTTTGAGAGAAGCCTCATGAGAGAATACTATCCTACTAAAAGGCAGTGTCTTTGCTAAGATGTGGAAAGCTGCGTGCCAGCAGCAAACGCTGTCTCCAAGGGGCTGTGATCCCTCGCAGCCAGGACTTTCATCACCTCCTGGAATGGCATCTCCCCTGAGGCTTGGCCAGTTTCTACGCGGCAAGCAGGGACAAAGCCCAGCTCTGAAGCGCTGGTCTGGAGAAGACACCGCCATCGAGCACTGGATGCGGGCGCAAGCGATGCTTGCCTCCCACTTGCCAGAGGCCCCCCTACCCAACCCGATCGGTCCTCCCGAAGCTCACCTTGCGTTTCCTTCTAGATTTTGGTAAACCCTTCTCTGCAGGGGGGTCAGCACTACTACTCTGCGGGAGGCTGGCCGCCTGGTTTGCTCCGGCGCTCATGGCCAGTGGCTCTTCGGGCAAACGCTCTGGAATCCTGGACAAAAGAGCCAAGTCAATGTTGACCCACAGTGACTTTACCTCATCACTGTCTTTCAGAGGAGACAGGAGCTCATTCCTACCGAAAGGAACCAGGGTGTAAAACTGTTCCTCCAGCTCCTTTGCTATTTCACTACTAGTCCTGGCATTAATGGAGCCAAAGGCACTGCAGCCGCTGTGGGGTTTGCTGGCGGTGCCGGTCGCCCGCCCCCGCCCGCCGCCGGCGCCTTGGGCAGCGGGCGCTCCTCCCGCTCCGACTCAGAGCCCGAGTCAGAGGAGGATGACGAGGATGAAGACTCAGTCTCGATGAACTCCTTGGATTTGGGCGCCGTTTTGCCCGCCCCCCGGCCCCGACGCTTCTCGCCGGCTGCAGCCGAGCGGGGCTCCCGGCGGTGCCCTGCTCTGCA